GGTTCACAATATCCCGAGCTCACATCGGATTGGTTTAAAATTAGCTCGAAGATTACCATACCCATCGATAAAGATCTAAGGGTTTTTAATACCCCGAACCCCAAACCAATCCTCGAACTAATCATTCAAATGAAGTCTTCCATAAATAAAGGCACTGTTAAATCCAGCACAAACCAAAGACGAGATAAGAAGTTCCCCTCGTATTTCCAAAAGATGATAACGGGAGATATTTACAAAAGGAAGATTTACAAAGAAACAAAATAGAGTAACCTAAAACTACTTCGGGGTCATATTTTTGGCAGCTCCACCTTCAGGAGTTGCGTCTTTGAAAGCATCATCCTCGGGGACTTCATCTCCGTCTCCTTCACTCTCAGAGCCACTGGCTGAATCATCATCATCGAAAAGTAGAGCGGTAGCCTCTTCTTCCAAAATCTTCGTCGTTTCAATATCGGTTGGAAGATCGAAACTGCGAGCATGTACCTCCTCGAGGGTTATCCTCCGGGATTTTCGCCTAGCATGTTCAAATGTACTTGATAACTTATCCTCCGCCGCAAAATAAATCTCTTTTTCCCGAACATTAGCTGCTTCGGCATCGGCTCGATACGAAGTCATGATTCCCTCAACATTAGATTTGGCCTTGGCCAGCTCAGCAGCAGATCTGGCTTTAAGCTCGTCGATATTGAGGCCCCGAGCTAGGCTCTCCTCCTTCACACCTCGAAGTTGGTGTTCGAGTGAAGCTATCTGCTCTCTTAGAGTTTCCTTCTCGGAGGTGAGATTGTCCATACCTTGTCTCCACCCTAGGGTCTTGGCTTCTTTCATCTTAAGCTCCTCCCAAAGTTGTGCTTCCAAGTCGGCCTTCTGATGAAACTGCAAAATTAAAAGTGTCAATCGCCAAAACAAATTAGTGTGTAACAAACCCTCGAGAGTTGTATTACCTTCTCAACATATTCGGCCTATTCTTGGCATACCTGCGCCAACTCAACTCGTAGATCATAGATCTCTATCTTTTTCTTAGCATAGAGATTTTTGACAACGTCCCTCTCCTCCAAAATCTTCTTAAGCTCAGCCTCGCATCGACCAAGATCGGTTTGGGACTTGGAAAATGCCCTTTTATGGAGCACCACAGCCTTCGTAAAGAGGGAGGAAAGAAAAATTCAGAACAGCTAAAACAAAGGCATAGGCATAAAAACAGAAAACTCACTTGTTTAAAGAGTCTACGAGGCTCGTCTAAAATGAAAGAATCATCTGGGTCAGGGCCATCCTCAAGCCCTGCGAGACATTCTCGAAAGATGTCATGCCCTTCATGGCTTGCTTCCACTTCAGAAGACCTCATATTCTGAGCATCTCGGATTTGTCCCTCGGAAAACTCGGGGCTAAGAGGTGAATCATCAACGTTGATTACCGCAAGTGATCCATTCAGGGCATTCTCTTTTATTTGAAGAGGCTCGGGATCAGGGCGTTTGGCCTCGCCTTCCAAATAGCCTCCTAGGCGAGGTACCTTTTTTCTGCACAGTGGCTCAGGAACTTTGTTTGAACTCCCTTTGGAGATTTCTTCGGCTCTAGAATGAGCCAAATCAACCGTCACCGGCTCGATGGGTTTCGAAGAACCGACATTTTTTCTTTCACGGGTTACCAGCAGACAGTCGCCATCGTCTTCCTCCTGATCCAGAAGGCGTTGGGCTATTTCCGGAGATAAGGCCAATGTATTGGCCTTCGAGACACGCTCTTCTTTGGCTTCAGAGTATTTTCAGATGACTCTCTTCTTCTTTTTCTTTCTTTAAAAGACTTCCGAACCTGTACTTCATCAGTCGGGGCCGGCCGCAAATCAACGGCATCTCCAAGACCTACAATGAACCGAGGTAAGTATCCCATGACAAAAGTACAAGAAAACAAACAAGAGAACTCACCATGGTTTTTGGCCTCCCATCGACCCTTGGCTAGATCTCGCCAGCAACGCTCTGAATAAGAAGAGGCGGAGGCCATCTTTCGGACCCCGCCCTCGAGGTCCGGGACCCCATCAGGAAACCAAGCAGCGGCTACACCATCGTAAAGGGGTTAGACCAATGAAAAATATATAGTTGAGGAAAAGAAAAGAAAGAAGGTTATAAACCCGCTACGTACTCACGTTTCATGTTCCACTCCTAAGGGAAAGATATCCAATCAGCAGGAATCAGATCAGAGGTCTTGACTCGGACGAACCGGCTTATCCACCCACGGTCTTTGTCCTCATCGATACTAGAGAAGAGAGATTTTAAGGATCGGCGTTGCAATTTTATCAAACCTCGCGATAAAGTCGGAGACTATATAGTCTGATCAGATGATTGGGGGTGAAAGACATCCCCTCAACTTGGCTCGAAAAGAACCTGATTAAGTAAACGATTCGCCAGAAGGAGGGGTAGTCTCAATAACGTTGGAAAAAGTCAAGAATAACTGGATCTATGGAACCCTGAGCCGGAATTGCAGGACCCAACGTCAATGGGTAGGTATATATGCTCAAGTACCCCGCTTTATATGTAGTGATGTGCTCCTCAGAGGAAGGAATCAATATTTCTTTATTATCCACTTGCAATCCTCCTTTACTTGCCCAAGCTCGGCCTTGGTCACCAAACAAACATATCGAGACATGGGCTCGCATCGGCCTGGTGTCGATGCAGGTTTCTCAATTTTGAAATTGGATGTTATTTCACATGGCGGGGGGATGCACTCCTCAATGCGAGGGGGAACTACCGGTTTATTCTTGGTCGATCGAGAAGATGAAGAAGCTTTTTTCTTTTGGGAAACCGGTTTAGAGGTTTTAGCCATCACAATGTGGAAGATCCAAGAAAATGAAGAGTGTTGATAGTGAAGAGAAGATAGAGGTCAAGGAAATTGAAAATGCTAATGAGACTTTGAGAAAAATATGAGAATAAAGTTTGTAAGGTTGTGAAATTTATCTATTTATAGAGGTCATTTAAGCGTGCTGGGAAAGCCAAAAGGCCGACCGTCAGCCGCCTCCAATTAATAATTTTGGGAATCGCACAAAAAGAAACTTTTTAGTCGCTTTAACCGCTGATGTCACGATATTGGCATCAGGACCAAGGCATCACGGATTAATTCGTCAAAAATCATAAAGGGCAGCCTATAAGTCGAGTTCGAGCAGAGTATCCATTCGATTACTAAGCCCAAGGCTATCCGAGTTTGAGGAATTTCTCGCTCGAGAATTGTGAAAAGTCCTAAGGGCCATCCTTATTACAAGTTTGAGCAAATACCCGCTCGACTGCAAAGCCCAAGGGCTACCCGAGTTAGATAAATTTCTCACTCGAGGACTGCAAAAAGATCTAAGGATTAACTTCATTTCGAGATCTTGCTCTCACCTAACTCGGGATCGGGAATCACGATGTTCCAAGTGCACATTTAAGCTCAGCTCGAGGATTAACGAGAACCTCGAGGGGTATTATATTGATCAATTAAAAACCTAAGGGTTTATTATGTCCTGAGCTCGATATTTGGGCTAGCCACTGAAACCATATAATCGAGTCTTTTACGAATAAAGATAGAATAAAATTCAGCATGGGCCAAAAGGGATACAGAAGGATCCTTTTATACTTCCAAGAAATGTTTACAAAGTATAGCTAAGGCACCCACGAAGGATACTTACACAAGAACAAAGAAGCAAAAAATAAAAGCCAAAGAACCTAATCCACTTTTAAGACCACGTCCTCGAGAGCATCATCTTCGGAAATCCTCTTCTTGAGGGCACCATTTAAGATCTTTGGAAACGTTTGTATAGGGCAGAAGGTCCTCGATGGATGTAATTATATCTCCAGCAGTCAAGATTGAGCATTCTGTTGAAGTTTTGGGCCACAATACATTAAGAACGAGCAAGCAAAAGGAAAAAACCAAAAAGAGTTGCAAGATGCACGAGCAACAATCCAAGAGTGTTCATCCTCGGAACGCTGTTACGGTGTGGGATGCAAAAGTTAGTAGATAATAGTGGCACCTCATTCCTTGGAAAGCAAAAGGAATGAATCGCCACACCAGGTTGAAGTTAAGAGAGATGAGCAGCAGTGTAAAGTTCACATATCTTCTGATACGGGAGGGATTTAGTGCCTTTCTCTCGTTGTCTCGAGCCGAAGCTTTGAAAAAGGAAGCTTTGGCGTAACTGGTAAAGTTGTTGCCATGTGACCGTGTGGCCACATATTTGAACCATGTAAATAGGTGATTAGAGGAAGAGGTAGAGAAGGGAAAGGACTAAAAGTAGATGAAGAGGAATAAGTGTAGTTTTTGTTCAGCCAACGACGACACTTCAAGCGCCTACGTCACGGGCATGACATCATCACGAGAGGTTCTGGAAAATTGAGGTTCAAATCGTTTCTTATCATCTTATTCTAATAAATGCAGTGACTATCTATATACGGTCGAAATCGGAGAGCTCGATTTTGAAAACTTAATCATGCCTCAAGCTCGAGTTTGGGAAGCTCGAAGTAATAATCAAGCCTAGACTGGATGCGCTCACCTCGAGAAGCAAGTCGAAGACCCGTCATGATCTGCCTCGAGGGCAGTACAAATTCGACGACACTCAAGAAAGAGTGAGAATTTCCCAAGAACACGTGGGTCAGGATATAAAGTAAGGGATAAGATTTGTACGAAATAGTACAAGTCCGTACTAGGTTGTTATACAGCTGTACCAATAGAATTCTTTACCATAATTGGAAATGTACCATATTAGGGTTTTCACCTTCTATATAAAGGGACCCCAATCTTTGTAAAGGATATCTCATTCACTACAATAGAATATTCTACTCTGCTTTTCTTGTTTACCGTGCTCAACAATTGTTCTTCAGCTTTGTTATCTTTGTTTTATTGTTCATACTTTATTGGCTCTTAGCTCACCTCGAGGTCCCCGAGATAATCGAGCTCGAGATCCCCATTTCTCTAACAACACTAGTTTTGTTCATCAATTCGTCTTGCTTAAATTTAATATTACTTGTATATTCACTGGTATTAGAATAAATCACATATCTTTAAAATCACAAATTATCTTTAATTGTTACTCATATTTTTCGAGGTAAACAGAAATAGAAACTGCCTCTGGAAGAAAGGAAAGTTTTTTCTCTAAAAACTGTCCAAACATTTCATAAGTTCAACCGTTGACCCACTAGCCTAGAGTCGGAGGCGTAAGCTGCCAAGCCGAGGTGGCAATGAGCGGTTGACTATCCCGACTCAACATAAGAAACCCATCATTCTCTTCCACTCCACATCCATGCCTATTATGAAACAAGGACAAAAGCTTGCTTGCTTGGTTGCACGTGTTCGAATTCAAGCGTACCGAGTTGAATCCAACTGAGTTCATTTTCACTCTCCATTGACTAAGAGTGTCGTGCCTCTCAATTCGATCACTCCCTTTGCAAGTCACCGCATTATGAATCTGCCGCCCTGGGTACTGCTCCGCCATCTCCGAGTCTCGGCTGTAGGACTGAGTCCACTCTGAGTTTGTTGCTTCTTGTTTGATGATGGTCGTCACAATCTTCGGTTGCATCTCTTTGATTGTATTCAGCAATTTCTCAATTGCGCCTGGCCTGGACATCGCATGGTGAGGCTCGAAAATAGAGTTCACAGCCACTGCTTCCACATTACTTGATCTAATACTCAGAATCATAGCGTCAACATCGGTTAAAGAATTGGCTAGGAATCCACGGAATTCAAATTCTAAACCTATTTTCTCAGCCAACTGCACTAGCATATACCGGACTTCCAAAAAGGAGTGTTGTGGTAGTCCAATTCCGGTAAGCCTAAAAGCCGGTGGAGCCCCATGACGCAAGGCGAGAGCCTGCATTAGCACCGGCCATTGCGAACCTTGATTCAAACTGAAATCAATTACATGTACTCTATTTGAATCGGCAAAGGCCTCAAGAATGGCTTGATTGGCAGTGAAGTGGGCGAATTTGAGGTAGGGGCTAGTCTCATAGAAGTACATCTGCAAGAGTTCATCCGTGCAATAGGAGGATTCAACAATATACGGTGCATTCATTCCGTTAATAGTTCGATCCAAAGTGTCGTCAAAATAATACACCACCTTTTTCACGGCTCCAGATTGTTGAACCGCAAGTCTTTTTATGTCGCTGACGAGTGCATCAGCTAGATTTAAGTTGTTCTGTTGGATTGCCTCGGCACAAGCCATCAATGTATATATATTGACAAACCTAAAGCTGGTTTCCTCATTCACTGCCCCACCAATATTCGAACCTAAACCAAAGCGACATTCCAATCGCTTACTGCTCTCAGCTGATCCTTTCTCCTCAATTTTATCACTGTTATTGCAAACAGCAACCGCCCTGAAATCAACATTAAATATCATAATCTCACTTTGCTTATTAGTATTGGATAACATGGAAGATGCACCTGATGATACAATCATCATATCATCAGCAGCAGCAGCACCACCACCACCAGCCGTCGAAATCTGCTGCTGGACGTCGTCTGCACTCGTCCAAGACGAATTAGGGATGTTGGGACCTGAGATTAAGCTCTCAGCCAACGCTGAAATATCAGAAGTGCCGTTGATGATTGCATCTGTATTAGAAATAAAGGATTCCCCATCTTCCGTGGTTGTGTCCATAGACATCTCTGATCTATAACTCATCTTCTTTTTGTTTTTTTAATAAATTGTTGGAGTCACCCTCCTAAGTCGCTTAAAAAAGAGTGAGGTCTTCGGTCAACTCCTTTTCTCTTGTCATTCCAAGAAATTTCGCTTTCATCTGTTACATCAAAATTTCAGACGTGTAACAAGTAATCAACTTTGTCTTTATCTATCAACGCGCTTATGTGAACCCGGAATGACTATCTACTGGAAAAGCAATGAATCATCTAACGTTCATTGCAACTTCTAATAGGTCTTTTTTTATTGTGAGTGATTTGCACAAATAAGAAAATTTGACAAGTGTTAGTGTGTTACCCTCGATTTGCCTCATAAGCAACACTTTTGACTTTGACCTTAAAGATTTGCCCATGGAACAAACAAGGGTAGAAAATCTAAATAATTCAATTTCAAGGTCACTAGGTGTAATTTCATGTATTCTAATTGGAAATAGCTCAATCCAAAATATTATAGGGCACTGCCCTACCCCTTCAACTACAAACAGGTGGTGTTGCTTATTCCAAAGTTTGCATGACTTCACATCCTAATATAATATCATCCAGTTCATAATAAGTGATCATTTTACTTCGGTCCAAAATAAGTATTTATTTATGTAATCAAGAAGGAATTAATTTTCTTTTTCTAAAATTTGCCCTTATTTACATATTCAATTGTGTCAAGGTAACAATTAACTAAGGTTAATTTAGTGAATACATCTTCTTTTTCTCTAGAAATTCGTATTGCCTTAATGGGTGTGCCAAAAGTAAAATAGTGCTTATTCTGGACCGGAGGAAGTAAAGATGAATATGAGTAGCACCAGGTCAGGTATTGAGATCGCCAGAATCACTAAGTAGCTTAAATTTTTGAACAAAAAGGTAGAGAAGGAAGGGTGGTTGACACCTACCTCATCTCGTTAAGACTTCGGAAAAATTACACAACCCAAGTTTCATTACGCAAACTTTCTCACTTTCGTACTTCTTAACAAAACAATATGTGTAATCTGCAAGTATATGTAAATACTTTTTTTTGGTACAAAAGATGATACTTCATTTCCTTTTTAGCATCAAATCCATGCATCGTGTGCTTGGTCGCATAAATTAAAATGATCTCACAATAATTAAGCATACTAGGTACTATAGTATTCAGGTGGCTGTTTAAGGGAAAACAAATCAGCAAAACTAACTCAATCAATGTCTGGTTTGCGATATCAAACTCTGTATAACTTGTGCAATAATTGACTGGCGGTAAATCTCGAATAGCTAATACGCAGCATATGTATAGGGATAGACCAAGAAGATCTTGGATAGATCAAACCCTCCAAATAGTAGCATCAGACTGATAAGTTCTTGGATAGATCAAGAAGATCCGGAACGAGAACAAATGACGAACAACCACGAAAAAGAAAGTGAAGTTTAAATAGCAATTTTAAGAATTAAGACTAGTAATTCAGTAAAAGATCGTTCTGTGAGAAAACACCGTCTTTCATTTACACATACAACAACATCACCTGACAGTTGAGGAACTAACTAGTCTGAGTTCAAGAGAGTTCCTTGGTTTCAAGGGCTGCAATTTCTTTGACAACCTGCGTTTTGTCAGCCTCAAACTGCTCATCCTCTGCAGATAAAGTAAGGAAAATCGTGAGGCATTCTTTCACAAGATACAGCTCTGTATTCATATTTCTTGTGCATGTGCCTATTCTTAATCGATATTTACTATGTATGTACCTTTGTCAGTCTTAAAATCAGCAAAGAGGCGCAGGAGCTTGCTTCTATTAGCGACAAGGATGCTAACAATATCTGGAGGCTTGTTCTGATTTGCAGCAAATAACTGCAGAACTTGAAAGTCAGAGACAAAGCCGTTGCTAATGGAACAGTCAGCAGACATGATAAAATGTGTCAAAATCAATAGAGTACCTTGAAAACATGGAATGCTTCTATCTGGATACTCTTGCTTGACTCCTGCAAAAGGAGTAATTCAGCAATCAACAAAACTTGACAGCAATTCAGGAAGATAATTTGATAAGGTCATCAGCTATAGTGATGGGGAAAGGAGCCACACAACTTTCGCTATCCTCGTAAAACATACCACTCTGCCCCAGCAAATCTTTATGCATGTTGTAAAAGGTCAACTTGTAGTCACTCCAAAACCATACATTCACTCAAACAATTAAGTGTGCCACGCTGATAGTCATGGTTCCTGTTTAGGGTGGCAGTTTTATACTGTTCACGTGAGTGAGTGATAAATTCAACTTCAAGTCTAGTTGTGCTAAGCAAAAAGTGGTCCATCTAATTTTACTTATTTCACAAGTTAACAATTTGTCCATTGGGTTGAGATGGACTTATCACACACAAAAACATGAACTGGTGCGGTGAAGCAGAATAGCAACTGCCAAACTCCAAGACAAGATTTACCTGTTCAGACTGTTGCTTTCTTAACTAATTAATCTTTTACAGATTCCCATATTCTACGATAGGCTTTCTAGTTGAGAGGTCAATAAAGCTGGAATACCATGGGAAACCATGGCGCAAATCCCAGTAACAGCAAAAAACTAGGTGATTCTTCTCATTTTTCTAAAAATTGGTGCGAGAGTTATCACGAAACCTCTGTTAGAGTTAACAGGAGACCGGTGGATTAGTCAAGGTGCTCGCAACCTGACATTGACACCACCATTATCCAAAAATGATAGGATTTTAAGTTATAATGGTGTCCTTTTTATTTAGTTAATTTTTTTTGGTTTTTTTTTTTTTTGAAATATAAGGGGTTCATATAGCCGACCATAACTAGTTAGGGATTGTGGTGCAGTTGTGATTTATTCAAAAAGTACAAAGGCACTTCTAGGCTAGTTATCCATAGTGGACCAACCCAAAGTTAACCCCTAGTATGCGTGGAATATCACTGTATTAGCTCAATGTTGACCTGTCCAAATTACCTGCCCAATTAGCACCCATTAACTCTAGTCTTGTCTAATAATAAACTTGAATTGCAGCAAGGGTTTCATGATCAATATTGTAAAGCCCCCACCACCCACAACATAGGAAGAGAATATAATTAAATGCACCAACAGAAACTTCAAGAGAATACAAGATTAAAGAAGAGAGTAGAATGACAGTGAGGAAGATAGGGCTGCAATAAGAATGAGCCGACCAAATATAGCTTAATACCCTGAGAAGATTCATAAGGATCCTTAAGTTGTCTCTTGAACTAACGTAACGCGTCATTACTGCAGAATTTGAGCGGTCAAGCAGTATATCTCCCAACAGCTGCAACAGTAAAACAAACATCTTTAAATATGAAAAGGAAACAACCAAAAGGAGGTCTCTGTCAGGCTACAAGTCACAACTGCCTGAACATAAATTGGAAACAGTCACTGTCTGAAAGAAATGAAGAAAGACTCCAGAATTATAACGACCTACTGGTGATGTATAACATTATGAATTTCCGGCAAAGAAAAGATATGAGCTTGAATAAATGATAAAAAGCGACTGCTGGAAATTTCTCCTCAAAGTCGTAAGGTTCAGCTTCCCGTCAATCAACAGAATGAATCTCATCCATTCTAGTGAAACAACAAAACAGCTTAATTCTGAAAACACGAATTTCATTCAATTTTTCTATTATCCAAGCCCCTTAGTTTCCTCCTCTTCCCTTCTTTCATCATGGAAAGAGGATTCCTGCTAATCCCAGCCTAAAAGGTACATGTAAAGGTATCTCCTAAAGGAATTATGATGTTGAATGCAAAAACATAGCCCTCAGTAAAAGAAGACGCAAGAACAACTCTTTTAACAAAATGAGGATCAGCATATAAGGGATAGAGAAAAATTGCTATCCATGTAATATGAGGAGGGCTTGAGGTATAAAATGTACATCAAGCATTTATGACCTACCATGTACTAGATTCCACTGAGATACTTTGCAAAAGACGTGAGAAATTTTCTGAAGGAACATAACTTTTTCCAGAAGTATATTATTCAGCAGAAGTTGTCCATAAGAAGAAGGAAGGCTTCCCTTACCTTGATAGCTTGCCTTCTGGTGATGTAATTACTGGACTCGAGCAGTTTTGAGTTATACTCGGCAAAGAACTGAAAACGGAACCAGCAGCGAATAAGTTCGCCATAATTAATTATTCGAAGCAAGAGTAGGTGATGAGAAAATCCAAGTATAATGGAAAAACCTATTAGAAGTAAAATATATGTTTTGACCACATTTATGTATCAATCACTAAGCCAAGTAGTGCAAATCAAAACACTGAAAGTCGACATAGCTGGCACCAAAATCCTCCTTAACCCTATCCCAGTTGATCCATCCATCCATCCCCTCAACTACATAAACCTGGATGAAAGAAAAAGGGCAGCAACAAGAACAAACTCTGAGGTTCTTAACACACCTTCTCTTTCCATTAACATGTCACAATTTTCCCTTTTTTGATGATGGAAAGGGGTCTCAAGAGGCACCATCGGGTGAAAGAATAAGTTTCTAAGATAATAAAGCAAAGCCTGATAGTCATGAAGTCCCAAGAAATAAAGGTAAAAAGTGCATATAACTGAGTGCTCCATCAGTACTACAAGAATCATTCATAGTAACAAAGAACATAACAGAATCAACAACGGAAGGTGTTAAGAGTATCTTGAGAGCATAGTTGCAAAAATCAGATCTGCAAGAAGCAACAAGTTTCCAGAGAAAAACTTTTAAATATAGTTCACACAACAAGCTTGCATGTGTACAACTAACATACACAAGTTCACAGAGAACTCCCGGTAACTATGGTTCAAACAACTTACTTCCATGTCTACAATAATAAGTAATTAGGCAAATATATTAAATCTATTACCCAGTCATAATTCTTCGAAAGAAACTCAGCTACTGTTGATTTGTGCCTCGTCAAGAGTTCCTGCCAGAAAATTGCAACTGAATCAGGATAATGCCACAGTAGGCATGACAAGCAACTCTTAGGAAAGAGCAGAAGCTTCTGTTGCAGAGTCATAATAAATATGCCGAAACCACAATAAGCTTTGGAGAATGATTATAGCACGACCAGCCCGCTGAATTTCACTAGGAATTAATGCAGCAAGTTCCTACTGCAGTTACTACGGAGACCCAATCATTTGATTTGATAAGCAAGCTAACCACACCATGGACAGCCAAGGCTGTCATGTGGAGTAGCAAATTGGCTTCTTTTTCTAGTGCAATAGGGAATTAACACTGATGGCATATTTACTTAAGTAGCCATTGAGATGACAATAGAATATTTTCAGTGAACAAAATTATCTATCAGATATTCATTCCATTAACATAATTAAAAGCACCCAACCTTGAAAGTTGCAGCGGCATCAGCAGCAATGTCAAAATTTGGCAGCTGAATATAATCAAAAAACTTCTTCATGTGCTCTGATTCCAAGACGTACCTAACAACAGAAGCACACATATAAGTTCTCAAAAAACAGATTCAGCAGTAGCAGCACACACTAGCAATATGCCTCATTTGCACTCAGAAATTAAGAAATATATAGCAAAAAGAAAGCTAATTAAGTAGCTCAGATAAATGAATATTCTATTACCAGTCAATTC